TTAAAACATAGATTTCTTTGCAATTTCATAATAATTATTTATAATTTTATACAAAATATACTAATATTTATTAAAATATGCTTATTTCTATCTGGGCACCTGCCGAGAGCTCCTGGTCTGTCGCACAGACCGCAGGTTTTCGGACATCTTGCAAGCACTATTGGGTATAAAAGGGGATTCTTGCATTCAATAGCGAAGTTCAACCGATCGCAAGCATCTCTCGCGCCAAAATCAATTGAGGGCAAATGGGATGGCTATCTGGGCACCTGCCGAGAGCTCCTGGTCTATCACATAGACCGCACGTTTTTGGACACCTTGCGAGCACTATTGGGTATAAAAGTGGATTCTTGCATTCAATAGCAAAGTTCAACCGAGTGCAAGCTTCTCCAGCACGATAATCTGAATATGAAATTTTTTAAGTAATTTGTTCATAAATTCTTTCGCAGAAGAAATTCTAAACTAATGAAACATTATGTCGAACATATATAATTTGCCTTGAATGATAAAATAATGATTGTCGATAATGGCTTAGCAAGGTTACTCATTGTTAAGAAATTTGCATTATTATCAGTTATATTATTAACAATATTTATATCAATAATTTCGCATTTGTCAGGCGTTTTCAGTTATTCGTAAAACCTGAATTTCTTAAACGACGGTATTCGCATTTGTCAGGCGTTTTCAGTTATTCGTAAAACCTGAATTTCTTAAACGACGGTACCAACAGTAAGTAATTTTTTTGACTTTTACCACATCTATCACATAAATATAGTATAAACAGTCCTTTTTTTTCTGCCAACGGTGGGAACGATGATAATTTAAATTTGCTATTTAAGTAAAATTTAATGAAAAATATTCTAGTGGACCATTTGTCAACGAAATTTATTATACAACATTACAACATTTCTATTTAGATTATTATTTTTAAATAACCGTTTTCGCATTTGAACTGTTTCGTTAAGCAACATTTTGCACACGTTCTTGGACATCTCTCCACACTTATCATTTCAAGAGATGCATTATTAACGCATGCTTGATTAGCTTTATAAGGCATTTCCCTGGAATGGAATATATATGGAATATGAATTTCATATATCTATATTCTTAACTGATTTCTCGCTATATATATAGTCATGAACGAAAGAACTTAAAAACAGAAAATTTGTGAGAACACTAACACATTGAGGTTTTGCTCTATCTCAGCCGCTGTCAATGGAAACAAAATAGGACATGCGGGATCTGAGTCTTGGCAATATTCAGGTGGAATTGTAGGACGAGGGGTTGCACCTCCGGTTGAGCACGCTACAATGTTCACCCCACCACCTTCACTATAATCGATGAAATAAAGAAGGTTGATAAATGTGATGAGCATGTTTGGCATGAATGCAATCGCTAATTCACCCATTTTATATGTCAAATTACTGTGAATCCATTAATGCAACAATTTTTTGATAATCACTTAAGGTTTATTCAGCTGTTTTGACGGATTTTCATTGACGATTGACATCTCATTTCAAGTTGAATAAATCTTTATTTTTACTGTTTCATGAATTTAGTTTAAGGATTTTTTAAATAAATGAGAATAATTGTTGATTAATGCGAAATCTAAATTTTTCTATTCCAGTTTAGCAAATTAATGTTATTCTATTAACCATCTTATAGCTCATAAAAACCATATTTCATTTGCTATTCAAGGTTATAAGCGAACATTTAGCAAATATTGTATTTATTTTAAAAGAATTTGACGAAAAATCTGACTAAAAATTTTCAGAGAACGAAGTTCTATCTGAAATTTTCAAATGTTCTCCAATGTACTTCCGTCCAAACTTACAATCAAAGCACACAATTTCTGCTATGCATGAATGAACTTTTAGAGAAGTACACTTTTACAGAAGCGGCGAATATAAATTACGAATGACCGAACTTTATAGGAAATTCGTCTTTGCAAAAAAATTTTGGCCAAATTAACCAAATTATTGCCACAAATTAAAAATAGATTTCGATTACGCATCGTTTATTTTCAAATTTTCAAATTTACATAATCATTTTAATGATGGAAAAACAAGATTTTAGTTAGAATTTCACATGTCTCTTAAAATAGGTGTAATTTTCCAGTTCCATAGCCCTCGAGTTATTTTGATTGTTTTTCTGCTAATCCAAGTTGATAAGCACTATGTTCTATGAGAATTTGATAAATTGAATTCATTTAATTTACTTAAATTCAATAAATTTTTTTAAAAAATTAACGATAATTATTTCGATTAATAAGGAAAAAATTTTATAAATTTTTATAGAAGAATTAGAATTCGTTATCATTCAATGATAAGAAATCAGATCAGAATCAATAATGAATGGATTATGTGGAAGATAGCCATATTTCAAACTTTCCCAAATTCATAGTGGTGCTTCATAGGATAGTCGTTTTTTCCATTGTTTCCACAATCCATTTATGAATGCTTTTGTGCCTAAATTTGTTTATTATTTAAATTAAAATATATTCCCAAAATATTGTTTTGAACCTAAATAAATACTTAAATTCTTTAAGATAAAATATTTATTTGCTCTTTTTTTTGAAATAATAAATTTTTAATTTTTTGCAATTTAATAATATATTCCGTGTAAAAAAAAGAAATGCTGCTTTATTGCTTTTATGAAAAATATTCATAAGAGTAATAATAATAGCTTCAAAATTATGGAAATTGTTATTGCATATGCATCAATGATTTAGTACATTTTTCTGGCCGAAATATATCTATTATTTGTTATCTATTATTTAAAATGCAAAAAATATGTTTGAGACTCTCGTGTAATTCACCTTTGTCCTCAAAGGGCGCTTTAGCAAAAACGTTCCAACTGATAAACTGATAAAACTAATATAGCCAGGAATGGTTATTAATTTGATAAATTTCTTATAAAATTACCTGGAAAAAAAAAGTATTTGGATTAAAATCATTTTTTATTCCAATCGCTTAAAATCTTAAAAGTTTATTTAAATAAAAATTATATATATATATATTAAATTCAAAGATCAAAACCCAAAAAGTTTCAAATATGAGTTTCATGTTGTGAAAAAAAATTCAATTTATCCTAATAATTTTAATAATTTCTAATTTAAATTCTAATTTTAATCGTGAATATTACTAAATATTAAAATTTAGCAAAAAAAATAATTCAACTATGAGAGATCAAATTAAGAAAAAAATAAAACCAATCATAAAACGAAGGCATCAATCAAGAAATCAATTAATCAAGAATTTATTTCAACGAATTAACCAAAAACTCAATTCAAAGAACCAACCAAGGAACCTATTAAATCACCAACCGAGAAATTAGCCAAAAAACCAATAGATCGCTTCAAAGAAAAACGAATTATTTTTTTTTCATTTAAAAAGAACTTCTAATTCTAATTTTAATAATTTCTAATATAAATTATAATTTGAATCGACAAAAGTGCATTTAACTTTAAATAAATTTTTTTAAATTTTAAATAAATATTTTCATAGAAGAGAAAATCATTTGTCAAAATTAACTGGTTTAATGGAGCATTTTCGATTTTTAATTTTCACGTGATTTTTGATACTTTTTAAATTAATTTTTGTTCACTTTTAGCTAATTTTCAATATTTTTTTAGTAAAAAAAGTTTAGTTTATTAAATTTATTTGTAAATTATTTTATTAAACAACATTTAAATATCATAAAATTTATAAAACAAATTATTCCTTTATAAATCTTTTTAATAAAAATAATATAAAATCAATTATGAGTTTCTTATGAAAATTAATTGATTTTATTTAAATTTTATCACTATTTATTGATTTTTTCGAAATTGGACCGCTACAACATTACGGTATTTTCAGTTGAATTTGCATTATTCTAAAATAGTTACAAAAATCAACTAATAATATATTATAATATTGTAAAAACAATAGTAATATAGTGATTACTATAGAGCGCTTATTGGTACTTTTACTGCAGCTGAAGCTGATATTGAGAAATAATTCAGAAATATATCAGAAATAAATCTGAACGCAGTCTTTTTACTAAAAACGACCGCTCGCAAATCAATGATACTGAATTTTGAAAATTTTCAAAAAGAATGAAAATTTCAAATTAAGGTTCATGATTTGTCATGATTTATGGTTTTATGTGGATTCAAATTTTAATATAAATTTAATATTAGCACCAGGCAAGCCTATTAGACCGTTGCTCCACACGGAGCGCTCATATTGAAGTTCCTTCTGGAAGAAGTAAACGTGTCCAAAAACCTCGAGGACGCTTGCGTCTAATCTGTGCATCACTAAGAGATTCCTTAGTATACTTGTCTAATCTAACAAGTCTGCTTGGACGAAGCCAACCAGCAATGATGGATATTCTTAGCGTCTTCCAGAAAGACACTTGAGATTCGTAATTTAATAATTCTTCTTAATTAATGCACAACGCATATAATTTTGGTTCAAAAAATTAAATACAAATTGCTTAGGAAAAATTAAAAACTTATAAATTAATTGATGAATTAATTAATGAATTAGAAAATTAATTGATGAATTAATGATAAAATAATTGGCCAATTTAATGGAGATTAGCTCCAATCATTTTAAAAAATAATTTGAATTGATATCGTTATTTTGTTAATTAAACTGAAAAATCTATGAATTTATTTTTTAATAAAAAAATAATAATTACTAATCTAACAAGTCTGCTTGAACGAAACCAATCAGCAATGATGGATACTCTTAGCGCCTTCCAGAAAGACATTTGAGATTGCTTATTTAATAATTCTTCTATTAATGCACAACGCATATAATTTTGGTTCAAAATTTTAAATACAAATTGCTTAGGAAAAATTAAAAACTTATAAATTAATTGATGAATTAATTAATGAATTGGAAAATTAATTGATGAATTAATGATAAATTAATTGGCCAATTTAATGGAGATTAGCTCCAATCATTTTAAAAAATAATTTGAATTGATATCGTTACTTTGTTAATTAAACTGAAAAATCTATGAATATTTATTTTTTAATAAAAAAATAATAATTAATAATAATTATAGATAATCATTTTCGAAGTATAAAGTGATAAAAATCTATGAATATTTATTTTTTAATAAAAAAATAATAATTATAGATAATCATTTTCGAAGTATAAAGTGATCGTTTGAGTTGAAAATTGGCGAAAATTAATAGTAATTTCCTTTTTGTATAAAATTAATTTAATAAAATAATAAATAGTAGATAAATAATAAAGAAAAGTATAAGTAAAAGTAGAGTAAAGTAAAGTAAAATAAAAGTAAAAAGCAAAATTTTCCCAAAGTATATTTTATGTTATTTTCTTATGTTAATTATGATTGTTAATATTTTTGAATATTTCGAAAAAAGGTGCAAACCATTTATTAACCCAAAAATACAGAAAATTATTTAGTTATTTACGAAAATATAAAAAATAGAACAATATTAAATTGCCCCGAGGTGACATAATGATATAAGGTTATTTGAAATAGGAAAAGTGACCAGTTATACGGATGGTATCTCATGCTTTACCACAAAGTCTGCATAGCTAACGCAGTTAGTTCTTTTGTCCTGGCATAGCGATGCACTTGCAGTAGTTGTACCTGCAATCGTTTTATAATTAACTAATGGAATCGCATAAAATTTTGCAAATATTGGCTGAAGAATGATCACCTGTCAAACAAGTTGTTATATTGCAGCTTTCCATGCACATTTGTGCAATTCTACTGTCCTGACATGCATTTCCAAGGAATCTCAATTGAGGGCAAATGGGATGACTATCTGGGCACCTGCCAAGAGCGCCTGGTCTGTCGCACAGACCGCAGGTTTTCGGACATCTTGCAAGCACTATTGGGTATAAAAGGGGATTCTTGCATTCAATAGCAAAGTTCAATCGAGCGCAAGCATCTCCCGCACGATAATCTGAACATAAATTTTTTGATTAATTTGTTCATAAGTTCTTTGGCAGATGCTTTGAGCTATGAAACATCGAACTTACGTCGAACTTATATCATTCGTCTTATCTCAGTTGATCTATAAATGATATGACAAAGCTATTCGGTGATGAGAAATTGGATTTAATGGAAATATTTCCATAATTATTGTCCATTTGCTTTATGAATTTTACAAACGATGAACAATTTGCTATTTATTTTCTTAAATTTACATTAATTTCATTATTTCTTAATTTCATTAAAACATAGATTTCTTATATTTTCATTCATTTTATACTAAATTTTTATATAAAATATACTAATATTTATTAAAATATGCTTATTTCTTATACTAATTCTTCATTTTTTTTGTTTTTCTCTGAACGAAAATTTCATTAAATAACCGTTTTCGCATTTGAATTGTTTCGTTAAGCAACATTTCGCGCATGTACTTGGACATCGCTCCACACTAATCGTTGTAAGGGATGCATTGTCCACACATTCTTTGTTTACTTTATAAGGATTTTCCCTGAAACATATTCATTCGTTCACATTCATTTCTCCTTATATTTACGCTTGAGCAAGAGTTAAAAGAAAAGAAGAAATTAGCAACAAAACTTACACATTGAGATTGTCCAGAACTTGTTGTCCGCCTAGCGGAAACAATGCAGCGCACTCATTGGTATTTACGTCCTGGCAATGTTCTGGTGGAATTGTGGGACGAGGATTTGCATCTGCAGTTGCACAATCTTTAATATTTTCATCGTCACTAGAGCTAAACTCGATAGAGAGAAGGATGAGTGAAGCTAAGAGAATATTTGCCATGGCAATGATAAATAATCATTTAATTCACCTTTTTTATGCGAACTGTAATTTGCTCTCGGATTGCCAACAAAGGTTTTTTTTAAAATCATTTTAAAATTGCGGTTTATCCAGCTTTCTGGGAAATTTCCGTTGATAAAAATATATTCTTTCTTTTCTCAAAGTCATAAAATAATATTTTTCAAATACTAAACCGAAGATGATAAATATTGGTTATTTAAGTGAAATTTCAAATTTTTTTGTATTTTCTAATTTTATAATTTATTTATTTTACAAATTTAATTATTCAATTTCTATAAATCACAAATTCCAAAATGGTTTTTCTACTCAAAATTGTTTTAAATTTTCTGTATAGTAATCATTAGCAGACGAGAAAATTTTCATTTTTATTGGAATTGCCAGCTCATTTTAATCGGCAGATTTAATCTTTCAATTTTATAAGTGAATTTGAGAATTCCTTTCAGGATTTCCGATATGATCTCCAATGTTTTTTTGCTACCTTATTTTCAGTCGGCATCAATAGATGTGCATATTTTTCAAATGAAATGAAATATACTTGCAAGCAGACTTTCAACTCAACGAAAAATTAATTCCAATGTCTATCGCTGTCGCCAAATGGCGAAAAAAGATGTAAGTATGAGCAATCGCATTTGCTTTACCCAAGAAAAGAATTGATGAAATAAGAGAGAAAAGAGTTGGAAAAGGTATTAGAAAATATCCCATAATAATAATAGAATACCTCAAAAGTGAGAGGTACAATATAGCTTTTATTTTGAGAGAATAAATTTTAAGAACCATAAATTTTCTTTCCTCTCATCTCAAATCAAATATATGCTCGCAAAATAATTTGGCCATTTTTGGCTATTTTAGGCTCCTATTGGAGAAAGAAGTGGGGTAGCGACAGGTGAACCGGGTATTTATATATTTTTATGTTTCGGCTTATTATTATTATTATTTTTTTTTTTTGTAGTAGGATTTGATAATATTTTAGCATTTGTTTTAGCAATATTAAATTACCCAAGTTTGAGAATTCGCAGCGAGCCAATCTTAAGAGAACTCTGGCCGAAAAAATATATAGTTATTATTGATGGGTAAAAGTCCCGCATGGCAGGCATTTATCAGTGGAGGGGATATCTAAAGGATTTTTTATTGAAATTATAAACCGGAAGTGAGAAATCGCTGTGCTCCACCAACCTTTCGCATTATCCGGACAATTTCTGTACAATTTCTAAGCTTTTATGAGACTTATCGAAAGATTTGTTCACATGTATACAATTTTCATACTCATCGTGGATCTTTCCATGCAACTTTTTTCTAAGGCAAATTACGAAGAAATTCGAAAAGTTTCGTGCAAATTTAAACCCGTGGATTCCAGGAGATACTCAAATGGTACGTAAAATAACGCATTGATTTACGAAGGAACTTCTAAACTCGCTAAACTGACACGTCGATTTCAAGAGAAAAAAACGAAAATTTAGACAAATTTCAAAATTTCATAACAATTATTTTATCAACTGATTTTTTGAACAAAGCAAATACTGGAAAAAAATCATCGAATTTATTCAGCAAATTAATTTTAAAAATTTTTAAAATAATTTTAAATAATTTAAAATTATAACAAATAATTTAATGTAATAATTATAATAATTAATTTATAATAATTTAATAATTTATATTTATAATATTTATATTTATAAATAATTTAATATTATAATTAATTATTATAATATTATTATAATTCTATAATTACTATAAATTATAATTACTATAAATTTTAAATAATTTTAAAATTGATTTTTAAAATTAAATTAGCGTTATATAATTTTTTTAAAAATTTACTTAAATTTTACTTTCGTTTTACCTTATCTTATGTAAAATAGAAATTTTCATAGAGATTTTTCGACTATAAAACTTTTTTTAAAGCAATTTGACGAAATCTTCGTTAAATATTCGCGAATTTTCTTTTAATTCTTTCGAAAATATAATTTTCTATTATTATTAAAATAACAAGAAAAAATTGAATTTTGATTAATGCGAAGACAAAAATCAGTTTTGAAGTGTAAATGATCGATGAATTTGAAAGGTGGCGAAAATTATTAGCAATTTCTTTTTCTACTTTCGACTTTTGTAGTATCACTAAATTCATTTTTTTCAAAAATTCATTGAGGAAGCAATTGTTTTATTATTTCATTCATACTTTTTTCATAATAAAATAATAAAAAATTTTATGAAGAAAAGTAAAAACTAGAATTTACTCGATTTACTCGGTTATTCCATTCTCCCAAAGTCTGTATTATATAATTTTCTTATTTTGCGTGAATATTAGTATTTTTATATTAAAAAAAGGTGCAAACCATTCATTAACCCAAAATTAAAAAAATTATTAAGAAAATAAATATTTAAGAGAAAAATAGAACGATATTATCTTTAGAGGACATAATGAGATAAGGTTATTTAAAATAAGAAAAACGATGATATCTCGTTCTTTAGCACAAAGTCTATCAACAGATCCTACATGTACGAGGACACACATCTCTCAGCACACTTGAATATCTTGGGTGATTGCAATAAGGTGCATAGCTAACGCAGTTAGTTCTTCTGTCCTGGCATAGCGATGCACTTGCAGTAGTTGTACCTGCAATCGTTTTATAATTAACTAATGGAATCGCATAAAATTTTGTAAGTATTGGCTGAAGAATGATCACCTGTCAAACAAGTTGTTATATTGCAGCTTTCCATGCACATTTGTGCAATTCTATTGTCCTGACATGCATTTCCAAGGAATCTCAGTTGAGGGCAAATGGGATGGCTGTCTGGGCACCTGCCGAGAGCGCCTGGTCTGTCACATAGACCGCACGTTTTTGGACATCTTGCAAGCACTATTGGGTATAAAAGCGGATTCTTGCATTCAATAGCAAAGTTCAATCGAGCGCAAGCATCTCCCGCACGGTAATCTGAACAAATTTTTTGATTAATTTGTTCATTAGTTCTTTGGCAGATGTTTTGAGCCATGAAACATTATGTCGAACTTGTATCATTCGTCTTATTTCAATTGATCTATAAATGATATGATAAAGCTATTTGGCGATAAGAAATTGGATTTAATGGAAATATTCCCAAAATTATTGCCCATATGCTTTATGAATTTCACAAACGATGAACAATTCGCTATTTATTTTCTTAAATTTACAGAACCTTAATTTCATTAAAACGTAGATTTCTTTACATTTTCATTTACTTATAATTTTATAAAGAATATACTAATATTTAATAAAAAATACTTATTTTTTATAATAATTTCATTTTTTTTTCTTTTTTCTGAGCGAAAATTTCATTAAATAACCATTTTCGCATTTGAATTGTTTCGTTAAGCAACATTTCGCGCATGTTTTTGGACATCGCTCCACACTAATCGTTGCAAGGAATGCATTGTCCACACATTCTTTGTTTACTTTATAAGGATTTTGCCTGAAATGCATTCATTCGTCCACATTCACTTCTTATATTTATATTTATAATTACGCTCATGCAAGAGTTCAAAAAAAGGAAGAAATTAGCAACAAAACTTACACATTTTGGTTGCCTAGAATGTGTTGCCCTTCTAGCGGAAACAAAGCAGCGCACTCATTGGTATTTACGTCCTGGCAATATTCTGGTGGAATTGTGGGGCGAGGCGGTTGACCTGTCGCACACTGTCTAATATTTTCTTCGGCGCAAGAGCTAAATTCGATAAAAAGAAGAAGGTTGAATGAAGCTAAGAGAATATTTGCCATGATGATGATAAACAATCACTTAATTCATCTTTTTTTCTCTTTTATATGGACTGTAAATTATTCTCGGATTGCTAACAAAGGTTTTTTTTGGAAATCATTTTAAAATTGAGGTTTATCCAGCTTGCTGGAAATTTCCTCTTTATAGCAATCATTTCATGGCAGATAAAAAATTGCTTTTCTTTTCTCAAAATAACAAAATAAATTAAATTAAATTAATTTCAAAATTTATATAAATTTAAGTAAATTAATTTCAAAATAAATTTCAAAATAAAATAAATATGAAACTGAATATAATAATTATTAGTTATTTAAGTGAAATCGGATTTATTTTAAAAATTGCAAGCCAACCAATATTTAATTATTCTATTCAAAGATCATTCAATAAATCGCAAAATTCAAAATGTTTTTGCTATTATTCAAAATTTTCCCAAAATTCTCTATGAAATAGCGATTAGCAAACGGGAAACTTACCATTTTTATTGGATTTGGTAACTCATTTCAATCGATCGATGCGAGAAAATGTGAAAAACGCAGATTTCAATTTTACACATAAATTTTACACGTAAATTTGAGAAATTCTTTCAGGATTTCCGATAAGATGTCCAATGTTTTCTTGCGACAATATTTTTAATCGGCAGAAACAGATTCGCTAATTTTTCAAATGAAATGGAATATAAGTAGATTTTCAGCTCAAAGAAAATTTAATTCCATCTCCTATTAGTAAGTTTTTATGAGGCCTATCAAATGCTCTCTTCACATGCATACAATTTTCATATTCATCGTGGACTTTTCCATTTTTCAACTATTTTATAAGGAAAAATATGAGATCAGGAATTCGAGAAATTTCTTGCAAGTGTCCTGAGAATTCAAATTGTTTTAACCCTTCGGATTCCGAAAATACTCAATTGGTACGCAAAATAACGCATTGACTTATGAAGAAAATTTCTAAATCGCTAAATTGACGTGTCGATTTCGAGAGAAAAAAGAAAGGAAAAAACGGAAATTTAGACAAATTTCAAAATAACTTCATAACAACTTTTTTGTCAAATGAACAAAGCAAATAGTGGAGAAAAATCATCGAATTTATTCAACGTTCTATAATTTTTTAGAATTTTATTTAAATTTTACTTTTGTGTAAAAAGGAAATTTTCATAGATTTTTTTCGATTAAAAAACTTTTCTTAAAGTAATTCGAACAAATTTTCGCTAAATATTCACGAATTTTCGTTTT